CACGCACGCACGCGTGCGTGCAATTACGTACATTCACTCGCGCGAATTATTCTCGTCTACGGTGCTCCAGCCGGTTCCATTAATTCGAGTGCGCCACTCTACCCTGTAGAGGGTGAAATTACCCTTGAAATTATAACAGGTTGATACTTCAACCGCACCGGCATCGACCGTCAGGTCGCTCAGCGCGATCGATAGCACTTGTTCGATGCGATACGGGCACCGGCGGAACGCGAGCCCGCTCGCTCGCGTGCGCGCGCGCCACCGCTTAGAGAATAGTTTTCAATTAAGCACGCCAGGAATGGCAGCGACAAAAGAAGCTGGGCTGCTCGTCGAATCGTTCGACCGTACCTCGTCTCGGAATCGGATAATCGTCGCTGCCAATTAAGCCCCGCTGAGAGCGACTAGCGCGCGCGCACACGCCACGCTCGATTTTCGACCCGTTTCGTAATTCCATCGGACGACGAGAGAGCATCACAGACAGTCGTCGGATTCGACCTCGATCCCTCCACGGAGGACACATCGCTGCGTAATTCCCTCTCGATCGACCTCGATCGTCGGCAAAGGACGTTCCTCTACCTCTCTTCCTGGAGGAGCACATCTTCTGCGCGTTTCGTTTCGAGGTGCTCTCGATCACGGACAAGGCACAGAGGTAACAAGAGCGGCCACAGCCAACACGATGCGCGTCGCACAGACGGTCACGCACACAACTTCTTTCCACGGACTACCAGACGCTGCTGACCCCCACCACACCAGCCGTCTCACACCAAGAGGCCAAAGTCTCACAGACGAATTCTACACCCGCGCTCTGCCAAGAGCGAGCAAGAGTACGAAAGAGGAACAGAGGGAGAAAACAGGAGGTAGAGATACGGATAGACAGATAGAGAGACGGAGAGGGACGAGGAACCAGGGAACTGGCTGCCAGAGTGAGAAAGAGAGAAAAAGAGAGAGACAGGATAACAGGCAAAGAGACAGAGTCCCTCGCAAGAGCTCTCTTCGAGAGTATACGGGGGCTCGCGACGCCATCGGTATAGGCGCGCCTTAAGGAACTTCGACGCCTGACCTTACCTCGGCCAAGGTCGTGGCACACGACGAACCGTCTGCTGCCTCTAATGTCGTTTTGACTGACTGCGAGCCGTGTTTTGACGAGCGACGGACCGTGCATGCGCCCGGTCATCGGTAGAGTAGGTATACGGCTGCCGGAGAGACCGGGCGCACACGTGACACAGGAGTCTGGTGGAGCTTTATTTTCACCGGGGCTGAGACGACGGCTAGAGAGCCATTGCTCGTTTAGCCGGTCGAGACTGAACTTTTCCATTAGAGACGACTAGGCTCCTGTGGCTCTTAACGACCCACCTCTTATATTAAATTCCAGTTCGCGGTAAAAGTATTTCGATACAGGACCGCTGGGTTCCTCCTCCTCTCTAGGAGTATTCGGCGAGAAGCATCCGTACAAGCCTCTAAGACGTAATACAATTACGTAATTAACTTTTCAAGCTTCCACGAAGCCGCAGCAACTTTCCAGGTAGCCGATCCCCCACCCATCCAATGTCGACGCGAAATTCGAGGCTCCCCTGGCTCTATACTTCATCTCCAGTCGACCTCTCTCTAGCAATACTTTTCTCCGTTCGTTGCTTTTCACGGTGTGTTGGTGTTCTCTATGCGAATTCAAGCCCCCCAGGTCTGGACTCGTACACATTTTCGTGGCCCGGTTAACTTTCCCTTTCGCAACCGTTTGACTATTTACCAATGGGCAGCAGCAGGGTCGATTAAAACAATCGCGATTCTCAGACGATACGATCTTGCCATACGAATCTCTCTCTCTCTCTCTCTAGTCCTTCGTCTCTTTCTCTCTCTGTTACTCTTTTGTTCCCGGTATCAGACCGTATCGCGTACTCTATGTGCAACGATAGTAGACGTCGCCGGTAGTAGATGCACCGTCGTGACGATCGCGACGACGACGACGACGACGGCGGCGTTGGCTTTATCGCTCGCGAGTGAACGAGAGAGCCGGCGAGCGAGCGCGTGTCTGGCCCGTGCGTGCAGACTCAGCTTAGAGAGTACACGTGTGAACAAGAGAGAAAGAGAAAGAGAGAGAGAGATATGAAGAGAGCAACAGTGTAAGGGATAAATAGAGAGCGAGAGAGTAACACAGTGAGGGAGGGAGAGAGAAAGTGAGTCGCACGAGGCAGTTGCGCGCGCGAGAGCACGTCTGTGTGTGACGCTGACGGCGAGTGTGTGCGCGCCGTCTAGACAGGAGGTTGTTGGGGCCGAACGAGGGTCGGCGGAGAGAGGCGAAAGACGACGCTGCCTGGGTTGGAGGGATTCGTACGAAGAGAGAGAAGGTGGGGTGGATACGGGTACGAGCAAAAGCTCGGAGGGGGACAGGCAGGGAAGGCAGCAAAACGAGATAGTGGGGAGGGTATGATAACCGGCTATCATATCTCAGGGCCGCTGCTACGAGTCCTCCGTTTCCCCCTTTCTTTTCCGACGATCCTTCTTCTCCTCCTTCTCTTCACCGTCCGCCCGCTCTCCTATCCACTCCTTCTTCGCCCTCCTGTTCTTCGTCGAGACGTTGCTGCTGCACCGACCGGTGCACAGCAACCTCCACCTCCCCCGACAGCTTCTGCTTCTTCTTCTTCTTCTTCTTCTTCTTCCTCTTTACCTCCCGCCTGCCCCTGCGCTCTTTATTCCTTTTCTTCGACCGCCTTCGTCCTTTCTTGCTCGTTTTCCTTCTACAACTTCTCCACTTCCCCCCTCTCTCTCCTTCTCTCTCTACCTCCAATCATCCGACCCTCCCGCCGTCCGCCTCTCTCTCTCTCTTCCCCCCTTACAAATCGACTTCGCCGCGACGTGGCCCAGACGGAACGCGATAACTCTGGCCATGTTGTGCTCCCTTTTTTTTACCCTTGCCCTTTTCTTCTCTTTCGATTACGCTCGCCCCCCTTTTATTTGCCCTCCGCGAGAGACATCGCGCTGCCTTATCGCGGGGATGGGGTTGCGCCGTGCTTCCAATCACGCTCCCTGGAACCGGTACGCGCTGTTCCGAGGGTATCGTGGAGAACGGGACTACGAGACGAGGCCTGTCGTATATACGCTCGATAGCATCGGTGTGTGCCTGGGTCCTCCGTTGGAAATGTTGTGTGTCGGTGCTTTTGTTGCGCAAGATCGCGCGTCTAGGGCAACAACGTTCGGTGGTGCATTTTCTTTTTTTAGTATGTGGATGTTGTTGGATAAATGACGAGGAAGATTTTGGAGATATTCGAGG